AAAGAGAAACTAAAAAAGAATCCCATTTACCATACAGCAAAAAAATTAAGATATCTAGGAATAAACTTAACCAAAGAAATAAAGGACCTATTCGCAGAAAACTACAGGTTATTGAAAAAAGAAATAGAGGAAGATATAAAAAAGTGGAAGCACGTACCTTGCTTATGGATTGGAAGAATAAACATAATTAAAATGCCCATACTACCCAAAGCAATCTATAGATTCAATGCAATCCCCATCAAAATACCAATGACGTATTTCACAGAACTAAAACAAATACTTCAAAAGTTCATATGGAACCAAAAAAGACCCCAAATAGCTACAGCAATCTTGAAAAAGAAGAACAAAGTTGGAGGGATCACATTACCAGATTTCAGGTTATACTACAAAGCCACTATAATCAAAACAGCCTGGTACTGGCATAAGAACAGGCAGATAGATCAATGGAACAGAATAGAGAACCCAGAAATGGACTCAAAACAATATGCTCAATTAATATTTGACAAAGGTGGCAAGAGCATACAGTGGAGTATAGTCTTCCTCTTTTTAATGTTCAATTTAGAGATTTCAGTAATATCAGACCAAACCTATGAGTAGATGGAGTGGCCATGCCATGACTTGGAGGGCTCGGGCAAGACCCCTGGTGGGACTGAGGCAGGGCTTTATTTATTTATTTAGGGAAAATACTGACCTCCCCCTTAAATTCCCTTTTTGAAAATGCAAATAAGCACAGGGGGCATCGTCCAATGTCTCTCTCACTTTCAGTGTGGGTGCTTTTGTGTCAACGAATAAATGAAGGAATCTTACAAGGTTCACCTAAGGACACCTAGGGCCATCCACGGTGGGAATCAGTAGGTTTTGAACCAGCATGTGGCCACTCTCTCTCTCTCTCTCCCCCTCTTCATTGTTCATTAATGACAGATTATACTCCACTTTGCAGGCAATAAGTTAACCCAGGTTCCCTCTCGCTGGAAGATAAGAGCCCAGCTGGCAGTGGAGTCCTTTAGGAAAGGCGATGGGCAGCAGCAGTCACTCTCAGCCCTCAGATTCCTTCTCCCAGACAGGGCCGGAGGGAAGCAGAGGACGCTGAGGCGGAGGGTAGGCCTGACAGTAACCATGACGCCTGGTCTGCTTATTATGTTGGTCATTACATTAAAAAATGCTCCTTGTGGTTAGTAAATAGGGACCTGAGTACCTGCCCTTCTACCCTGACCACCCTCCAGGACTTGGTGGACAACCCCCTCACACCTGCCCCCATCATCCATCAATTTAAAGGTTAATGTTTTGCTCAGTTGGGATTGGGGTTGGGGGCCTTGCAACTGGGGTTGTTAAATATTTCGAATATCACTCCCGGAGAGAACTGTGCATCAAGGGAAAGAAAAACCTCAGCAGAGACAAACCTTATGTACCCCACATTGGCAGCCCTTTCTGCCCTCCGGCTAGTTCCTATCACTGAGCAGCAGCTTTGGTGCCCGGTCCTGGGGCATTTCCCACACATGGGGCAGGGTGGCGGAGTGACAGAGGAAGGGTTCAGGGCCATCATTTACAAGGACTCCCTCGCTGGTCCCAAAATTGTGGTGAGGGGTGCTTTTAGTTGGGAGAGAGAAACTTCCTGTATCTCTGAATCAGGATCCTTGGGGTGGGAGGCGATCTGTGGCCTCTTTCCTGCCTCTAGAGAATGTGACTTCATCCTGTCCCCTTCATTACTCAAGGAGTGAGTGATGGGTTTGGTCCGGGGGCACACCAAGCATCAGAAATCTGGCCAACGTTCAGATATAAGGGTGAAGACAGTTTTTATAGACCTCATAAACAGGAAAATTGATCTCCAGGGTCTTTCCTTATAAAGAAATCCTTCAGGACTTACAAAATCAGAGTACATTAAGACATTCTGGCTGCCTTCCAAAGCAACATGGACTTGACTGGATAAATTCATTGAAAAATATTTTGAATATTGCAAAATAATACGGCCTTGGATGACACTGCTTCCAATAATGAAAGACATTAATTAAGAGACATTTCCCTGCAAATAAAAACCATAATGAGATATCACCTCATTGCAAAGACAAGAGATAAAAAATGCTGGCGAGGATGTGGAGGAAAGGGAACCCTTGTGACCATTGGTGGGAATGTAAATTGTTGCTGCCTCTGAGAAACAGCATGAAGGTCCCTCGTAAAATTAAAAATAGAACTACCACACGACCCAGCAACTCCACTTCTGGGTATTTATCCAAAGGAAATAAAATCACTATCCTAAAGAGATATCTGCACCCCCATGTTCATTGCAGCCTTAGCCAGGATATGAAAACAACCTAAGTGTTGGACTGATAAATAGATAAAGGAAATGTGATTTATATATATTATTATATGTATATAAACAATGTAATACTATTACATATAGTGCCTATATAATATATATAAACAATGTGATACTACTTAGCCATAAAAATGAAAGAAATCCTCCCGTTTGCAGGAGAGACCCTGAGGGCATTATGTGAGGTGAAATAAGCCAGATGGAGAAATGGTTGCCAGCACGGTGGGGTGGAAGGGGGGGGACTTGGGTGAAGATGATCAAAAGATACAAACCTCCAGCTGTAAATCAGTTCTAGGGATGTAACGTACAACATGATGACTTAAGTTAATACACTGTACTGTTTATTTGACAGTTGCTGAGAATAGATCGTAAAAGTTTTCATCACAAGGAAAAAATTTATAACTGTGAGGTGATGGGTGTTAACTAAACTTACTGTGGTAATCATTTTGCAATAGATACATTTATCATTGTTACCTTGTACAACTTATACAATGTCATATCTCAATAAAACTGGATAAAGAGATTTCCCACCAATATAAGTTGAACGACACACAATACAGTAATATATTTCTATTACACTAAATATTGTTAAGTGTTAATACTGATAATACACAGTACTTACTACATGCAAGTGCTGTTTCTAAGTTATATATAAAACTCTTCACCAGCTACTTGTGTGGTTGGTGCTGTTATTGTCCTTACTATACAAATGAGGAAACTGGGCACAGAGAAGTTAAGTAACTTGCCCAAGATCACACAGCTAGTTAAGTGGCAAAGCTCTGCTTGGCTGTTTTATTGTTTCTGGTTGTCCTTACCCAGAGGTAATTGTTTTTTAATTTAATTAATTAATTAATTGATTTATTTATTTTTAGAGAGAGAGAGGAAGGGAGAGGGAGAGAGATAAAAACATCAATGAGAGAGAACATTGATTAGCTGCCTCCTGAATGCCCCTACTGGGGGTTTGGCCCACAACCTGGGCTTATGCCCTGACCAGAAATCGAACCAGTGACCTCTCGGTGCATGGGTCAATGCTCAACCACTGAGCCACACCAGCCAGACCCAGAGGTAACTTCAATAATCAAAGGGACAAGGTGAGCATGAGTGATGCCTACTACAACAGAAGCCCTGGTTTCACTGCCTGCTGCTGACATCACCAACCCTGGCCACCCCTTTCTGTAAGAGCCCACTGCAAGGTCCTCTCCACACCCCCCCCCCCCCAATTCTAGACCTGAAAATGTCCCTTTTTCAATTTTTTTGAATCCCTATAGAAAGCACTCTGGCTGACTCATGGCTTTTGTTTTTGTTTTCCCCTTAAACTAAAATGGCCGTGCAGCCTCAGGTATTTAAAACAACATTTAACTCTTGGGGTTGCAAGGGTAGGAATCAGTTTAACGTCCTGGTGAGGTCAGTCCAGTCTGGATGGACTAACCGACCTGAGACTTGCACCTGTCCTGGACCCCTCCCTGCACACACGTCTGGTCTGCTCTAAGTCAACTCTCCCTCAATACCCAGGGGCTTCCGTTGATGCACGAGCCTCTCTTCCCAGAAGTTCCTGCACATGGATGCACCTCGGGCTGAGTTTCTCATCTCCTTCATTCACCACTTCTTTCAACTGTTCCTCGAAGCCCCTTCCCCTCCTTTTCACGTCTCGCACTCTGAGCTTAGCATTTTTCTTCAGCTCAGTTCTACAGACAGATGTGAGTCCCCTTGCACTGTGCTGAGTGCCAGAGCATCAGAGAGAACAGGTGACAAGCTCTTGGCTGGAGAGGCTCACTGTCGATTTTCCCCACGCACCCTCCCCAGGAGACCTGAGACAGGATGGAAGCCGCCCGGCAGCAGGGTAGCGCTCACTCCAGCTGGCCTGGGCTGTCCTGCCCCTGCTGTGACTGTGGGAAGGCTGGGCACTTGCTGCAACCAGACACGCGAGAGCTAGTGTCTTCTCTTCATTTGGCTATTATTTTCTTTGGGCTTTTCCAGTCTAGGGGCTGGGGAATGAAGTTGATAAATAGGCCCCTATCATTTGGGCATGTAGGTGATGGCAGCTCATTCCAGGCCCTGAGCTATCCATGGAGACCCTGCCACAGTGATGTGATGGCTCTGAATGAGAAGGCAGGTTCTTACTGATCTGGGAGTGGACGTGCTTAGCCCCGGGCTGGGCATGCGTGGGTGAGTGTGTTAACGTTCGCTAAGAGTAATGAAATAAAGGGAAGTGCCACTCTTTAGTGTTAAAAATAACGCGCCCCGAGGAGTTCTTTCAGATGGGCTGACTAGTTGCTAAGATCATGTGGCCTTGGGAGAGTACCAGCTGGGACAACTCAATGTGTGTGTGCATACATGCATAACATGCATATATATTTATTACATGTCAGATGACACTCGTCATTCACTGTCTTCTGTGGATCCTTCCTAAGCAGGGGAACCAGAGCAGCCTCAGCTGCCCCACCTAAAGGCCGTGTGCACTGGCAGCCCCACTCCCCTAACCCATGTTGACTCCCCACGACTCCCGGTTCCACTGAGCACTGTTAGTTTACACGTTTTTTATACATTGTACAAACAATGCAAGATCTGCCTTCAATCTTCAAGCAGTGTTTTGTCGCCCTGTACTACTCATGGGCCTGTTAACTTTTTGTCACCCTTTGCTTTGAGTGGCCTGAGGCCTGAGGAAGGGGGAGGAGCTCCAGGCACTTACCACAGTGCAGCAGAGGGGCCAGAACCACCACAGCAGAGCCAGGGCCAGGAGCAGGAACAGGATCAGCAGGGCAATTGCCAGGATGGAGCCATCGGACTGCAGGGCCAAGAGAAAGGTGGTCAGCCATGGACAGGCCATGTGTGCAACAAGCAGGTGAGCTCAGGGCGGGGCCAGGCAACACCTGTGCTCTCCCCCTCCCATCACCAATATGCAGATGTAAGGCCCAGAGAAGGGCACACTTTGTCAAGCAAATTGTTGAAACTGCCTATCCTTTTGGGCAACCACTGTATGTAGCCAGTTCTCATGAGAAATAGATTCTTTTTTTCATTGAGGTCCTGCTCTTCTCTTTGAGCAACATTCTGAAGGACCAACACTGCAAGAGACAGCGCAGGTGGCTGCCCACACACCTGGGCTTTGAGGTGGCCTACCACTGGTCATCTGCCTCTGGTCCATCACCCTCTGCCCAGTGACAGCCTCCCACATCCTGGATCTGCTACAACTTGGGCTGGACCCAGGACAACTCTACTTAGGATACGGCCTGCTCCCAGCACCCATTCACACAGGCACATGTAACCGATTCCTGAGACTATGAATGGGAAGTCTAGAATGGCTGAAAGGAAGCAGTAATGGGCAGAGGGATTGCAGGGAGTGGAGGGAGGAGCAGCTGCTGCTGAACCTGGGAGGGGAGGGTGTGGTGGCTGAGTCAATGCTGCCTGGGTTATGGGAGGCTAGGGAGCGAGGCAGGCACCCAAGGCGAATTCCATCCACTTCTAAACATGCCTAAGCCAGCCCTGAAAATAGACATGACTGATGGGGCTTGAGATAGTTAACTTTTAGTAAACAGATCCTACTCAGTGTTGGTATTCTGGGGTCGCTGGTTCAAGAAGCAGACTTAAGCCTCCTCCACCCCGCCTCCCTCCTGGCCCCCACCAAGCCAAGACTGGAATGCCAGACTGCCCCCAAGGGGGCTGCAGCCTTACAAGTGCAGATGTAGGGCTGGGCCGTGGGTGGGGAGCAGGGCCGTGATAGAAAGGATGCCTCTGGATCCACAACATTTATGCATGAGCTACAGCAGAGAGCAACACGCTCAATGATGACACAAATCACGCGTGTGTTCCAAACTTACGGTTAGTCTAGGACAACCCTCTTGATCTCTCAGTCTCTATATTCCACGCATGTACAGTGGAGACGCTAAACTTTGAACAGCTGCATTAGAGATCAAGACTGTGTTTATAATTTTTGTCTCCTCTCTGATGGAAGGAAGTTCAACAACAATGCCCAGTGTGGGCCACGTGTTGCATAGGAGAAAGTGTACTTTGGAGCGATGTTGGGAAAGATGGGGACCACAGCAGAGCCTGCTTTCCCTTTAAGCATCAGCTTGGCTTGGAGTTCCGACCAACAACCTTGTGAAGAGGGACTGACAACGCATGTAAGGGTGGCTCTATGTTACCTGTCGAATATATATTAGTATGTAGTACAGACACACACACATCTGTGTGGCTTAGTAAATGGTATTTGCTTATTTTAATGAATAACAGTATTCATTAAAACAGTGCAGTTATTCTGAACCAGTCCCTTTGCATCTTCACCAAGGTCCAAGATGAAGATTCCCAACCCTTGGGTCCTAAGAAGTAGGTCCTGCCTGTTGCAGGCAGGCGTGTGGAATGTTCCAGAGCCCACACAGCATAGCTTCGCAACCTAGAACCTGGCTCTGCTGTGGGCTCCGTTCCCCGCTCTGGTGCAGACCGCCTCGGCTCCTTGGGCGGTGGCCTCTGCCTGCCCTCCGGTCCCAGCTCACTGTGGGTTGGCACACCCTGGGCTACCTGCACCCGGTCCTGAAAGTTTTCTCTTGGATCAGAGTCCAGGAGGGTCATGGGCTCGCCGCTGTTCTCAGCCTGATTCAGGACCCATGTATGGCTCTGCCTCTGGTGTCCCCCTTCACCAGGGCGAAGGTCGGCCAGGACTGGAGCGAGCCCCGGGCTCACATGGTCATCAGCACAGGGCTGAGTGGAGACACTGAGGTCAGTGGTTCCTCTCATGGAACTGTGCCTGCCCAGGCCTTGTCTCAGGTGGCTGCCCAGAGCTCACAAGTTCGGCCCGAGCCTGCCCACAGGCCTGGAAACAGACCCTACTCCAGGCTCTGGAGGAGGAGCCTGAGGTGGGACCTGCAAAGACCTGATTTTAGGACACAAAACAAGAACAGAAGCGACTTGCCCAGCAAATTCTCAGTCTGACAGCCACAGGGCTGGGCAGTCCCTGCATGCAATTCATCCGAAACCTTCATTAATGGTTTCTGAAGGGGGAAAAGCTGCAGATAAACAGCCAAAGACTGATTCCTACCATTGTTATTGTTCCAGCAGCCTAAACATGAACACAAGTTAAACTCTTACTTTATTTTAAAATGTTTAAAAATCAACATGGCTCTTTATTTACAAAAACATTTTGGCAAGAGGTGGGGGTGCTCTGGGGTGTGGGACTGGAGCTGAAGGGAGGTGCTGTCTTCCACGTGGGGGCGGGGGTTTACCTATTTTCTTCAACGAAGAGTTTTATGCCTCTCCCCTGTGAAACGCTGCCGTATGACAGGCTCTCACGGAGGCCTGCCGAGGGCACGCGGACATGGAATATTCAATCAGGGCCGGACTCCCCCAGCCCTGCTCCTTCCGGGCTTAGGACAGCCTTCCATGAAGGTCGCTGGCTTGAAAGGCCAAGTCTCCGCATCATGGCTTTCTTCCATGCCTCTTTTCCCAGCTCACCAAACGAGGGCACGTCTTCTGAGACAAGGAGGCATTGTGTTCAAGGGTCTGGATTTGGAAACTTGAATAATGAAAGCATCTCTTACTTGGTAGGTCTCTAGGTAACTCTGGGGACGCCTGGCTGCGGGAGAGACCTTGCCTGGGCCTGCCTGGGCCTGCCTGGGCCGGGGGTGGGGGGGTGGGGGGCGGCCTCTGGACAGAGCACCACGCACTGCCGCTGCTTTCGGTCTGGCTTGGGGGTTGCCGTGGTCAAGGGAGCAGGGGGAAATGGAGAGGGATGAGTGGGAGACCGGGGGAAGCTCAACTTAAAGAAACTCTGTGAAATCCTCCATCTCAAAGTCCGGAGCAAGGTTCCGCCTGATGCCAGGCATGGGACCATTATGAAGTCAATGAAGTGCCTGCAGTTCTGCCTGGGGACCGTCCCAGCCTAGGAAGGAACATTCTTCCCCACTCCTGCGTGTCCTCCCATGGGGAGGGCACCCAGTGTGTACAGCCCAGGACTTCCTCTTCCCCTTTATTGTCCAGTAAGTAAGGTGGGAGTCAGCCGGGCATGCTGCCCACAGGGGGCAGGGGCTGTCCTCTTCTGTTCCGTGCAGGCATATTTTTGGGGGGGTACCCATTGCTTATACTATTTTAGGGGGCCTCTTTAAGAAAAATAACATAAAAAGACAAATGTAAAATGAGAAGGGCTCCTCCCAAGGCCTTAGAAGAGTCTAGAAGGGACCCTTTCAAATGGGGATCCCTGCAGCTTAAGCTTCATCAGCGTGCTGGTCACTCGGCCGCTGGTTGTAAGTTTTCCCCAGAGAGGCCCAGCGCCTGCGGTGGGGCTGGGGAAGCTACTTCCTTCTGGGCTTCGGTCTACCGTCCGCTTGCTGCCCACTCAGCTCTAGCTTCCCGCCCACAATAACCAAGGCAATATCGAGGCTTTCATCTACCATTCTTGGGATTTAATTTCTGTTTGACACACACTTTATTGCCCCCCACTACAGTGACCCCCCCCCCCAAGTATCTCTTATTTGAACTGACCCCAGGATGGGCCTTGCTAATGGTAAGGATTGCCTTTGGACAGGAGAGTACACGAACCCTTCAGAAAGGTGCTAGAGAGCCTCAGTGTGGGTGGTGGGGTCATCGTGGTTCTGTGCTCAGTTTGGGAGAGTCTGAGTATTAACACTGAGCTGCTGAAGACCCTCAGATTCTTTCACATGACTAGACTCTCTTTTAAATATCTAACACGAAAGAATGAAGTAGCAGGTTTATTCTGCCACATTGAAGGAATATTAGCCAAACTCTGCTAAAAAATGTGCCAGGAAACTAGCTGATGATCCATTAGAGCTTCCTGAATGTGGCAATGTGGTGTTCCTGGATCCAGTCAGTAAGGGCGGTACAGGGCACCCCAGGATGACACAGGCAGGCTCGCTATGGCGAGAGGCTCCCCAGTGGCCCCCCTTCCTCCCTCCTGTGCCTGTCCCTGTCTCTCTGTAGCGAATGAGGTTGTCTTTGAAGCACTGTTGGAAAGTCTTCAAGGGAAAGAGACCCTTTAGCCAGAGGCAGCTCCCACTTACGACCTTGTCATTTCATAGCTTGGTCCAAATACCAAAGAAGTCATCCTGTTGAGAGGGAACAATGTGGAGATAAAGGGACTAGGAACATATGGACTTGTCCTGCTCAGAGGGGGACCTGGAGCAGGCCGAGGAGTGTCCGCCCTGGGAGGAGGGAGGCCGGAGGCTCGGCTGTGCCTCCCTCTGCTCCAGGCTGCTCCCCTCCCTCCCGGGCAGAGGCTGGCACTTGGGAGGCGTCACGTTCCAATGCTCTGAAGTGGAATTTAGAACCATCCTCAGCAGCTGGTCTGAGCTCTGTTTCCTGCCCAGACAAAACCGGCAGAGCATGGGCAAGTTTTCTTTTGAAAGATGAAATTTAAGTCATTTTATTGCTGCTGAGAAGTTCTGGATGGGCAAGTCCAGAGACCAGAATTCTCTTTCTCTCCCAGAGCTCATATATTCTGACTGTTATTTCTGGAAGTAGCCTTAGTGATTCTACCTCTCTGCCCGCCCCACCCTGTATTTCATTGGAATTATATTCCCCTGGCTTCTGTGACTGCACTCTCCTAGCTCCCTCCTCCCACCTCTGAGGGTTCTTTGTCCACCTTCCCCACGGGCCCCTCTTTGTCTGCAGTCCTTTAAATGTCAGCTACCCCACGGATCCCCCCTTTTAAAGACAAGTATATACTTTTTATTTTGCCTTAAGTGTTTATCTACTTTCCCCCCACTTTAAAAAATTGAGGTAAGAAATATATACATATATAAAATTTACCATTTTAACCATTATAAGTGTACAATTCAGTGG